GTGGTCCAATGATGTTACACCTCTTGTAATAGAATGATGACCACAGTATGCAACATTTGTCCTTTGAGTGATTTTTTTATTTTTATTTTCTTGAGATTCCAAGTTGGAAACAAAGATCCAAAACCAACATACTTTGCATCAAGACAATTTGATCAAAAATTGATTTTTAACAAAGATGAATTTCAAACATAGAACAAGTTGTTGTTTTTGTTGTTTTTGATTAGTGGGAATGGTTGGACTCCATGCATTAAATTCCATTATGGCATTTAGCATATGGGGCAAAATGTTTTGCGACTTCTATAAGTTTGTATTTTGAGTACTTCTACGCGGAAACATGGTCGTTCCTGAAAATTTGAGTGCGGGGAAAAAGAATTTTCCGGCATTAGCACTCCGACACTCAAGTAAGTCAGGGCAGAAGAAATAAATATAGATTGAGAATAAAGAAAGACAATATATAAATTAATATACGTGTCTTAACCTTCTTCTGTACCTCAAGGTTATGTTTATACTTGCTTTAAGAGTGGGGCATATGCCCCATTATTCCATCATTACTAGGGGTGCACGTGGCAGTGACTGCAACCTAAACAACTCAATGGGCGCTCGGGCGAGCTTACCGCTAACATGTTGGACGGTCCGACGAGCACTCTCACTCGTGTTACAAGTGAGTTTTTTCAGTCGATGTCGTGGTACGTACTTTTTTTGCCTATATCTTCGTCTTAAGGTCACTTAGACTTCTTAAGCTTCTTCGTTTAGCCTCCTATTTGGGCGGGGCCAATTGATTAGATTTTCTACCTTTCTATGTGAATGAAAATTAATTTAGTTCTAACATTTATTTTTGTCTAAAAAAAAATTAATTAGCATTTGTTGTCACAAGTCATAACCAATTCTTATTAGGGCTTCCATAGTAGGGCCCTTGGCGAGTAAGGGATTACTACATTATATTTCAGGTGTTCTAGAAATTAAGAGTATATTTCACTAGCCTGGGCTTATTATTGGCCCGGCCCAACTGGGCCCAAATCAAGTTGTGTTATTTCATTTTTAATTTCAGAAACAATTTAAAATATTCTATATTTATTTCAAAAATTATATTTGAAAGTATAAGTATTATTTTGTATTTCATAATACAGGTGGAAAAAAAATCTCAATAAAACAAAAAAATTAGAATAGAGAATTAACTCAATATAATAGGGCAAATTACAAGAAATCCCTAAGGTAGTCTAATTACGAAAATAACCATGATGTTTGAGTAATTACGAAAATGCCTCTAAGGTATGTTGTCGTCTTACACAATCCCCTACTGTGTCACTCTTAACATAATCTTTTTGATTTTATGGAATATTTCTTTGAAAATATCATTTTTTTTTACCCTTTATCACGTGGCACATGTAATGATATTAATTACTTGGGGGTAAATTGTAGTATAATCTTTAAAACTAAATGCACATCAAAAAATTATATAAATAATAATTAAATGTATCTTGTAACATAGAGTTTTTATTTGTTTTGTAATCTTTTTGCTTACATATTTATAATTTTTTTATTCAATGTAATCGCATCTACGAGGGGATTTTCATAATTATACATCATATAGCGGGGGTTTCTCGTAATTTATCCTTTATTTTCTTCAAACAACAGAAAGGTAAGACGGACAAAATACATTTTCCGTGAGTCAAACGTCA